CTGAGAGATACGATGAGACAGGAAATATGAGAGCAGCGCAAAATATGGTGGAGAGCATGGAAGCAATGCACCGAGTCCGTCTGCTGCTTCCCTCGACTTCCATGGGGGCCATTTTGCATACGGGGACTCTCGCTTTTTCTGAAGGGCGAAGCAAGCTTCAAACAAGTCGTCTCAAAATTCATCGAGATTTATCTACTAGGATAGCCTCTTTAGGACCGGGTTACTGCCAGCCATCGGAAACTTCTCGGCCTCATCGACGAGATCGTATCTGTTGCTGTTCGTCGCTGGAAAAACGGGTTGTCATTCCCAGCGTAAAGGGTTACACATTCCCATGTGTACAGGGTCCCTGGATGCATGGTTTCACGGATAGATGTAATATCAGGGAAAATTCCGAGGAAATCTTTAATTCAAAGAAGTTGAGGAGGTAATATGAGAGAGATTGAGCATCGGAAATCGAAAAGCAGCCATCGATCAAATTCCTAAGCTCAGTGGCGTATTTTACGAGAGGCAAGGGGGGGCCCCCCCGTCAAGGTAATGGTAATAATTGGAGGTAATAATTTTCTCCAATATCGCTCCCGGTATAGCTCGTTCTGTTGCCTGCAACCCCCCCCCCCCCCCCTTCCCGACCCTTCACCAAAATTACCCCACTGGAGGGGTTAGATGTTCATCTGTTCATTCAGCCCTTTCTGTGCGCAGAAGCGTTGCTTGAAACAAATTTCGGAGAGTTTGACTCTTTCAAGAACCGTGGATTAAGAAAAAATATCAGGAAAAATCCGGGACTCTTGGAGGGAGGTAGTAGTAGCAAGCTCGCAACAGGGAGCTAAGATTCCGGCATATTTTCCTTTTTGATATATATTTACAGTATGGTTAAAAAAAAATGTTAACACTAACTGGGAATAAGCAATGCAAGTTTGGAATATTAGATCGTACATTAATATCAATACAGAATGAAATTACACGCATTTATCCACATTAAACAAGAACGTAACCATAAATCCGATGACATTGCAATTGAATTTGAATTCTAGTTTGAATCTACCGTAACGATATTGTTCCATTACAGTGGTAACATTTATTTTGGCCACCCTGTATCTTACGGTCAACCGACTATTTTTCTATATTTTTCTAAAATACAAGGTGAACAAGTTTTCCTTCTTTTTTTTTTTATTCGCCTCCTTACCTTCTCGGCACCCCTGGGCAAGCGTCCACCTCTATTTACGGCCCTGTTCCCGCGATACTCACCTGTGGAGAACGAAAAAAAGGGAGACGGGGTAGAATAATTCTGGGAGCGCGAATAAACCATTGAATGAGGTTAATTAATTAATAATTTCCTCATGCCTACAGCAAAAGAACTGCTTCTATCGTTCCTGAAAATTTCTGACAGTGATTGCATTCTCCCTCAGACCCCGTCGATTTCAAATGGATTATACATCAATAAAATGGTCGCACTTTTCTGCCACCCGCAGTCCTGCAATCCACGAGTCGGGAAAGACTAGCATCAGAACCCACTTGATGTATTTATGCCTCTCAATTCAGCGAGAGAAACTGATACGTTCACGTATGAAATTCACTGGTAGAGGTCATGTCGCGCCTAGTGCGCACTTAATGCTCTTATCCCGAATGCTGATCAACAATGGAGCTGGGAGCCTGTGTCTATTGTGACGTGGCATTACAGAGCGAGACGGTGCTCTCGCCGATCCAACTCCCATCCTTCTCTTCCAGTTCAACCTCAACTTCTGGCTCTGTGAGCTGAAAAACTCCAGGCAGCGCACAATGGGTTGATTCCACTTGCATTTTCTTAAAGCAAGCAGCCATCCAGGAAAGTTTCCTGGACAGTTTTCTCTGGCATGCCAATGGAAGCCATTTCTCCTCCCCTCGTCGGTCAACTTCTGTGGTTTCTCCTCGAAACTGTGCAAGGCAAGTTGAAATAAGAACGGTTTGATCTTCGAATGAGGCTTCACGGTGCACCTCTACCTTTTCCTCATGGCTCAAAATGGACGTTTTCGGAAAGTGAAGCTCAAACTACCTTCCTTTAGTTCGTGCGGAAAATTGCATCTTGCATTCTTTCCGTCTTTTCTTTCGACAAAAAAAAATACATCAACCGCATAACACGAGCGAATTTGAACATACGCCGCATTAGGTAAGTGGACAATACCAATTTATTGTAATGTATATACCAATGTACTATGTACAATCTTACCATATCCAAGGCTTAATGCAATAACTGTTTTTGCACATTCTGTTCAAACTTCATTAGAGTTCGCTTATTCTTGCTTGAATGACGAATGGATATCGGATTGATATCCGAATTAAATCAATATACGAAGTCCAAGCGATCTGCAGCCTCTCAGATGTGGCATCATCAGATCTGTTTAACTTAAGCTAATCTGAACTTACAATGATCCTTTATGGGAATCCGTTTGACAGAGATAATCTTATCCCCATTGACGCCCATTACCAGATCAGGTTAAAGTTAACGGATCTGGAGCATGTCACCCCAAGTAGCGCAAAAGTAGTGGGTCATAAACGGCCCAGACACTACACTGGCGGATTTCTGCCGGGGGCGGGAACGTGGCGGCAAGTTGGACATGCACCAGTTCAGGGTGGAGAATGTAGCTGCCACTCCCCTAGATGCAGTACCAAGAGTCCCCACTAGATGGTACTCCCGTTCCCTGCACCCTACTAATGCAAGGAAGCACCTGCCTTCCTGATTCAGCAAAAGTGCTTCTACTTCGTTTTTCCGTTTTTTTTTATGTGCAATTTGTAAACAGGTACTAGGAAATCGTGAAATTGATGTTTTGATTGCAATATAAGTTTCGGGGAATTATTAAATTCTGAAGTTAAGTAAGAGAATTTAGAAGGGTACAGGACTAGGGGAGGGTAGAGAAACATTGGCTTTTCCAATGTCATATTGTATATATCAATATAATATGCTCAAAGTCTCGGGAACTTCTGCTTTTCCTCCAACCCCTGAGATCCATAGAGGATGCGGAAGAGGAGAGCAGTGGACCATCTTGGTACTCGAGTACTCTTTGGAGTAGGCTCCAGAGCCAAGATTTATAGTTAATTCGGATATACCTGTATATGGAGGAATTAGGACCCTTCCCAGTTGGTGGTACACCACAAACGAGCTAACTGGTAATGTGCTGGCCCTTAAGCCCTTGAGCCAGTAGTGGCCCGGAAGGTGGTGGGCCACTACTGGCAAGTGGGACATGCGGCTGGTGGCCCACAACCCAGTCAAGGTGATGGGCCACCAACTCTCTTCCCCAAACGTAGTTGGTGGCCCACCAACTATGTGCTACTTGGGACCCTAACCCTGACGCTCATTAAACCCGCGGCAGTAAAGAAGGCTTTTTCTGAATACAGGAATAGAGCGGGGCGGATATTTTATTGCTCTTTACTCGTATAAAGCAACATCCCGTCACCATTGCGTCTGCTTCAGTCAGTGTACTGCATTACCTTGAAGCTGTACCTGATTCTCGGTGGTGAAATTGATAGCTAGAACACGCGAGACAGAATTCATCTGCGGGAAATGCATGCAAAATAGAGATAGAAAATTTGAGAGTGGAAGACCGACTGGGTAGTTCGTGATGGAAGTTCCTTTGAGTGCAGTGTCGAAAAGAAACGTGATCTGTAGATAAATCCTTTTCGTGTCACGTCATTGAGACACTTTGAGGCCGGATGCCATCGATTCAAAGATCAGGCAGAAAAGGAAATCGACGTAATGCGACGCGCTGGTTCTGGTGTGGCTTAAAAAATCCGATGCTGCAACGAGAGACTACTCGAACATTGACACCCTTTTCTCTCCTCTGCGTTCGAAAAATTCCGTAGAGTGTCACTCCCCCCCTTCCCTTCCAGGGGTTTGTATTTTTCGTATTAAAACATAGTGTCAGTCAGTCCGATCCTGCCAGCCTGTGTGAAGGGGCCTTTTTCCTCTGTGCTTTCGTCTCACCCGCCCATTGTCTGGAAAATGAACTGAGAGGTAGCTCCCTCCTTTCTTTCTCTCCATAATCATCCAATTCAGATCTTCTTGCCTGCACGTTGAATGCTGAGACATCCCAAGAGACACCAGGTTAACAGGCATCAGATTCACTCTTGCAGGTTTTTCCCCGTTTCTCGGTCTACCCAATCGTAGAAATAACGGAAATAAACAGAAATACTTTCATTTTAACCCATGCGCTTTGCCTGCTCTGGCTTATCTAACATTTCATGTGTCACACTGTTAATTTTTTATTGAAAGCCCACGGCGAATGTGTGATTCCTCAAAGTCTGCCGTAAGGATCTGGCCTGCTCATCCTCGAAAAGTAAATCTTGCATTTCACTTTAGATCCTGGTTCACTCTGTCAAGGCCGATGTGGAATATTTTGAGGAGTGGCGCCGTCTCCGATTTTCGCCGTCATTTTGCTTTTTCTGAGCAGAAAGACGACCTGGATATTGGGCAGCATATCCCCCTCGGCGATGGGATCGATGCGAATCTCGCTGTGGCGGAGCGGTATTACCTGTCTGTTTCTGGATTTCAGCCGATAAGTCTTTCGCAACGGCCGAGTAGAAGGACAGGTCACAGACATCCACGTGCTCCGAGTGTATTCCACTCCTCAGGGCTCCATGACTCATTTCAAAACTACAGTTTCGTTCCATTTACAAGTGGGATTTAATTGTGAGGACAGTGGAACTTCTGTCAGACCAAAGCCTGAACTGGAGCAAGAACCAAACAGAAACTGAACTGCCCTTTAGAAATTCTCCATTTATATATCTTAGGCTTCCGTCCCACGGGTAATTGAGGCTTTGTATGTGTATTGATGACGTCAAGCAACCAATTGAAGCCGTATTTTTTGTTATTAACTGGCTCAGTGAAACGACGCACCCATAGTTACGTTCACGCCAGAGCGTTGTAAAGCCACTTTGCTGACAGAGATGCGAGACAAGCAGGCTTATTATCCTTCTGAGTTCGGATATTTTTTACTGCTCATTCGAGTTGTGAAAATATCCGAATTATGCTTATGCAAAGTTTGCACGCCTTTCCAAACCTTTTCTCCTGTTGTCTTTCCAGATTTGTTGGCTGATTGCATTCTGCTTTTGGCTTGCTTTCCTTGAAGTGAACCGACATGGATAGCATGAAGGAAGATGCGATTGATATCCAGCAAATCTTGCCAGATGTATCACAGACTGTGATTTATGAAACCCTGAAAAAGTATGGGGATGACTTATTGTACCGAAGAGAGAAGGCCCTGGAGGAGCTTCTAAATGCAAACGGAACGGAAGGACCAAGAGGAGTAGCCTGGGATGCGCCAGGACCTTCCAATGAGATGGCAAACTCGTCCATATCAGGCGACCCCACTTCAACATGGAGAAATCACCTCAAGAGACGGGCCAAGAGTGTCCTCGCAACAGTCGACTGGAAGAAAGCGCGGGTGGAAACCGAGCCCCTCTCCCCGGATCCTCGTTCTTCGGTCCCGAATGGATCGAACCTCGAGAACCTTGAGCGACTGACGCTCCTGCACAGCATCTTCCCCGACTGCGATCCACTGTTCCTGAAAATTAAGTGTGATGACTGTAACGGTGATGATGAGGCTCTGCAGGTCTGTTCCCATTTCATCGTGTCTCACCGATATAAATACAATTGAACCTCGGCAATGTATTCCTTTGGTTTACCAGTTGTTGAAAAACATATTGCATTGGCTGCAATTCCCAATCGACTCGAGATCGTAACTCGTACGGAACAAGTAGAGAATTTCCAGTTGTCAATAACAGACTACAGATTAGTTAATGCTGTGACCCTCCTCCAATTCAGGTGCCTTTCTTCGCTGTTTAAAATATTATGTTGATTTCTTTTGAAAAGCATGGCACTGAAGCAGTGAGATTTAAATTGTCCATATATCGTCTTAGGATATATTTCTCGGCTTGTCATTCTTTGGGCGCGAAGCGTCAGGGCTGGTGCGAGCATAGCAATTAGGATAAATAAGATATGTAAAATAAAATAAATTTAAGGATAAATTGGCCTTTCAACATCCAAGAAGATAAAAGAGTCTAACTCTTTTTTAGCGCAACGCTAAATGTCTGCGAACAGTTTACTTTTTGGTCTATATTACTAGTAATGTGCACATTATGAAATCCCAATTGATTAGCTTTAATTTCGTCTTATATATCGATTGCCCAACATTGTCTTTTTGGGAAGTTTTTCAAGTCACATGCAGCGTGAGATAGGACTCCTGGGCAAAGTAAAGATCAGTAAAGGGCAAGTTCGAAATTCAGTGATACCCATCGCCCATACTTCATCTCTGAGAAACATCTCCAACGATAAGATTACGCAATTTTAACCAATATTTTTTGTTCCAGGCATTGGTTCATGATATGTTGAATCTGAGAAATTACCCTCGCCTTGAGGACACACCGAAACGCAAGTCACTAGATCTGAAGAGGAAATACAACGACATGTCGCTCGAGGAATTCCTCAAGTTGGTCCATGATCCCCTGCAGTATTTTTACCGCACTGACCGACCTGCCTCACCTGCATATGTCAAGCTCACCACGGCATACTTAGAGAAGAATTTCCCCCATCATGCGATCGAAACAATAGCAGCTTTGCTACTAGAGAATAATTCCCTCCTCGCCCCCACGGTGAAGGCAATGAGAGTCGGAAACTTTAAGCTGAAGAGGAGGAGACGTTCAGCGTCAAAAGAGGACGAAGCTCAAGAGACTGATGAAGAATTTCTGAAAGAGGTATGCCGTGTTGGCGAGTCTCTAGATCTAGTATCTTTGATCTTGTCCAGATACTACGAGGTGCGTTCAAGTTCTAAGGTCTCCTAATTTTTTTCTGGGGACCGGGTGCAGAAAGAAACATGCGTTTGAGCTTAAAATACGCGGGTACTCTTTGTTTATGCATGAACGAGATGGCAGCACCGTACAGCACACAGGGTTCTTGTAGCTGCCGCACGAGTGAGAAGCGTTTTCAATACTTAAAATGGCGACGTTCAGTGTACAAGAACAGCGTGTAATCATCCGTTTTCTCCACTTGCGGGGCGTAACACCCATTGAAATTCATCGTCAATTGAGTGAGACATGCTGTGATGGTGTTATGGATGTGAAAAATGTGCGTTCGTGGGTGCGACAGTTCAAAGAAGGCCGAACGTCGTGTGACAACGAACCGAAGCAGCCGCGGCCACGAACCAGCCGGACCGACAACATGCTTGCGCGAGTGGAGCAAATTGTTATGGAGGACCGCCGATTAGGTGTGAGAGATATCGCCTCCAAAGCGGGCATTTCCATGGGATCTGCGCAC